TCACCAAGGAAGTGAATACATATTTCAGAACTGGAAGTTGGTAGAGCTAGCTAAACATTCTTGAACAAGTGCCACATGGTTGGGGCTTGTCAGGGCTTTCTGAATAGCCCCCACAAGCAGCTGAAAAGTACCTTACCAACGAACCAGAGTTACAAGAAAGATCAGTGATTTAAGAAAAAAAAATCATAAAACCCCATAAGCTTAGGATTTGAATTCGAGTCTCCTATCTCCCATAAAACATAATTTTCAGAAAAAGAAAGAAAGAAAGAAAGAGAGAAAGAGAGAGAGAGAGAGAGAGAGAGAGAAAGAAAGAAAGAAAGAAAGAAAGAAAGAAAGAAAGAAAGAAAGAAAGAAAGAAAGAAAGAAAGAAAGAAGGAAAGAAGGAAAACAGAAAAAAGCTGGACTCAGCAATTTCCCTCTGAGACAGGATTTCTTGGTGTAGCCCTGGCTGTCCTAGAACTCACTCTGTAGACCAGGCTGGGCTCACACAGAGATCTACCTTGCTGGGATTAAAGGCCTGCGCCACCACTGCCCAGCCACTCAGCGATTTTAAGTTTAGCATTTACGGGAAGAGGCATCAAGACCCGCCCTGAGATGCCTGAGGGCAGGGTCTGATGTCTCTGATTCTGTGTCTGAGAAAGTTTTAAAATGTTTTCTGCTGGGATTTTCAAGACCTAGGTCTATTCTACTTCCCTTTGGGTTAACCTGGTGGAGACCCACCAAATACAGCAACACCTTAAATAAAACCAATGTTATCTTTGAATTGAATCCAGTCTGAGCCCCAAGGACTTCCCTTTCTTGTTACTCAGATCCACACATGGTGCATCTCCACACACCGGGGCACCTGCACCTCTTTCGTCCTTCCTTCACCATGCATGCTTAGTATGTAAGATTTATGACCCAAGCCATGAGCAGACAACCCTGACGGAAGTTTAGTAATTAGTCATTCGGGCTCAGTATTCTCAGGGGTTGTGTGGGAGCAGCCTGGGCGCTGAGCCTGGAAACACCCTTGACATTATACAGTGTGGGAAACAGGCCATGTCTTGGCTGAACACCTTCAGAGCCATGTGACACAAAGCCTATGAGACTTGTTAGCAGAACTTAATAATAAATCTTAGCGAATAAAGCAAGTACAAAGCAGGAATTTGACTAGAGGTAGCCATGCTATTCTCTGATTACTGGAGTTACACCCCTAAACACACATTCCCTAAGATTATGTCAGTCTTCTGTGTGATAAATATACAACATAACTGATTTTTAAAGTGTTGGAATTATTATTTGTCCTCAAATATTCTGTATAAACATTCCTTTCTGTTTCTCTCTCATTATTTTTTTCCTCAAACTTACAATGGATGTGCTCAGCTATGCCTTCAAACTATCCCATAAGATCTTACTGTCTTCTGGAACCCTTATCTTCTCAGCCCGTGAGTCACACAAGGTGCCTAGTACGTAGTAGATGTGGATAAGAATGAACATTGTCAGCCACAGAAAAAAAATCATGGGACTGCAGATAATCATATTAACTTAATAAATCTCAGAAAACAAATTCCACATTCTTTTTCACTTCTGGCTTCTAGATTTCATATAAGTACATAAGATCTTATAAACAGAACACATGGCAGTAGACGCAACTGCCAGATGAACCGAGGACCAGTAGGTGGGGGAGGTGTGAGCAGGGGAGAAGGGAGGATGCGCTCAATATGCATGCAGTGTCCATGGAGGCCCCAACACTGTGCATGCAGTGTCCATGGAGGCCCCAACACTGGCCACCCTGCGCCAAGCCAACACTGGCGGCTGTCAGAAAAGCACAGCGGTTGATCACAGGGACAACGCTTGTATAAGCCAGAGACCAGGAAGCTCACGTCTTCACTGACACCTAGCCGTGCAGCCTCCGGCAGGTGATCCATACACAGTGCCTGACTTTGGCTTCTTCCACTGTAAAATCAGAATCTATCTGCCAAGAAATAGGAAGCTAGCCTGGATGTTTTATTTTATATTTCTGTTGTGTGCTATGTATACGTATGTGTGCTTTTGTGCATTTGTGTCTGTGTATGCTGGCATATATGAATGTGCAGGTGGAGGCCAGAGTTTGATGCCATGGGCCTTTCTCAATGACTTTCTAACTCTTTTTTTTTTTTAATTTTAATTTTTTGAGGCAGGGTTTCTCACTGTTCTGGCGCTATACCTGCTGACCAGTGAGCCCAGAGATCCGCTGTTCTCTGTTTCCCAGTACTGGAATTACAGGAGTGTGCTATCACATCTGACTTTTTTGTCTGGGTTCAGATGATCTAGACTTGGGTCCTGATGCCTGTGAAGCAAGCTCTTTACCTACTGAACCATTTTTCTAGGCCACAGATTCTTTTAATAAGGTCTCCAAACTATGGTCGATCTTTTTTAGTCATATACAAACAACATTTTGGACAAAACACAACTTAATTTGAAAGTGTTGTGACATACAGGTGTGATAATGGACTTATAATACTCACCAGACTTGAATGAATTAAATAGATTATGCTACAGATTCTTATTATTACTTTGAACACTCTTCCTACTTGATGAAGACCATCCAAGCCTTTTCTTACCTTTGGACTTCCGGTCATGGTATGACCTGCCTCTGTAATGAGGGGTGTCCAGATACAAGTTTTCCAGATCATCTTGCCAAGACTCTGGATTGAAGTGCTTAAGCAGATCTTCTACAGTATCGAATTCTGCAATTGTTTTGTCCAAAGCATCAGCAGTGAGCGTAGGGTCCGTTACTGATGGAGAGTGATGGGACACCCCCTAAGAGTGACATACAGCTCAGTGTACTTAGAAAGGGTCCATTGGTGAAATACAGCTATCATATAAACATACTGAAGGAACACAGATAGGAACACAACATATCATTAAAATATTATACCTTGGCAATCTGGCACTGAACTGTTATATTAACTCTAATACACAACATAGCGTGTGCATGTGCATTTATGGACGTCAAAGCCAAGAAGATCATACAATGTTTAGTTCATTTGAGCTGAGATAATTTCAAAAGATATAGGCTAAGTAGAATACAAAAATTGGCATCTGATTTCTTTGTTCCTAGTACCAGATCATCCATATATTAACTAACAATAGAATTAAACTCTAATCTCCTTTCAAGAAATTTCTGATGATATGATCTGTTCTCTCGTCCTGATGCTGTCTGAGCTGAATTTGACTGCACTCTGGAGACATTCTGATTTTATATCTGGCACTTTAACCAACTTATTTACTGTCAACAAGATAATTAGCCCTAAAACTGACTCTCTTAACTTATGAGAGCAAGGTTCACATGGGAAGCATATTAAAAGAAAAAAAGTGAAAGAACTGCTCTGGCTTAGCAGCGATCTCAGTTTTCATTAAGAAAGTCCCAGAATATTATTTAAACGATGAGCACAGTGCCTTTGAAGGTCCAGAAAGGGATCATGTATTTTGCCGGAAATAAAACATTCTCATGTAGTTTCTAAGCACTTACTCCACTAACCCTTGTACAATCTTGAGGCAAATGAGCCATGAGTCAAACATTTCGGTGAAAATTCATGACCCATTAACAGGGAAATAGAAAGAACTCAGCCTCAAATGATCATCTAAACATCTTTAAAGAAACTATCAAACAACTAAGTCTCCCCATGAGCAAATACCTCCTATCACTAAAGGGAAGAGGAAATTAATGAGAGCTTGTCTTCTGAAAACGGAACTGTAGGAGACAAATAGTGGAGGTGCCAGAGCTTCCAGCCCCCCACCAACGCCCTCACTGTTCTCCTATTCCTCCCTCTTCAGCACTCACGCTTCATAGGTCTGTGAATGACTCATGATCCCTCACTTTCAGAGAACTGCACCCCACCCAGCTGGTGAAACTATGGAGTCCAATGAAATCATCTACCATTGGTGTGACTCAGGGGCCGTTTTTCATTCATGCTTTGTAGGAGGATTGGGGGGAATGTGGGAGCTGGGAAGTGCGGTGGGGACAGGAGATAGATTGGTGACCCTGTCCCTTTTTAGACAGCCCTGTCAAAATAAGCAGATGTTCTCATCCTTTCCCACCATGTGCTCTCATTACCTGTCTGAGGCCACACAAGTACACAAGCAATTGTTTATCTGGTCACTTGGCATTTGTCATGAATGACTTAAGAGGGATTTGTTAATAGTTTGAGCCAAGATAAAGACACATTCCATACTCACCTTGCTGATGATAAAAAAAACTTCATCCAGGTACAGACATATTGGTTTCTTCATTCTTTTTGTTAAATGTCTTACATTTATTTATTTTATGTATATGAGATGAATGTTTGCATTGCATGCATGTATTAATATGTATCACATACATACATGTCTGGTGACCACAGAGGTCAGAAAAGCTCCAACTGGAGCTATGGTTGTTTGTAAACTACTACAGCAAGTACAGGGAACTGAACCTGGGTCCTCTGCAAGAGCAACTTAACTGCGGAACCATCTCCCTAGCTCCTGTTCCTTCAGTTATTGACAGGCCAGTTCTTTAAATTGTGTGTGTGTGTGTGTGTGTGTGTGTGTGTGTGTGTGTGTGTGTGTGTGTGTGAGACATAAGCTGAACTCTGATAGACACATGATTTTGCCTTCTACAACTCTCTCAATACTCACATGCTTGGGGTATATGATACTTATAAGTCAGACTGTAATTACAAGTCTCCACTCACCCTGTATGGATAACTAATTATTCGCTCTAAGCCCAGTGGTTCATATTCACCATATAATTAGCCTTATATCACAATGTGGTTCTAATAAGCTGCAAGTCAAAATGAGTTGACCAAAGTTAGGAGATTGGCAGCATTGAAATAAAAGTAAGACCATCCATCAAGCCATTTACACATAAAAAGCTTCCTGTTATAGCTCTGGGAAAAGTGGCTGCAAGAAGCATTCTCAGATGGCTCTCAACAGTGCCTGGAGTGTTGCTGTGTACACAGACATTTCTCCGAGAACAAACTCTTAAGGGACTCTCAGTCCTAGAATGGAGTCGGGGTGAGCTGAGAGGCCAGACTTTCCTGTAACACTGAGCTGGGGAGAAAATTCAAACTGCACATAAAATTGAGACTTGTCCCTCTGTATGAGATCCGTGGGTGTTTTCCAGGTTTCATTTAGGGAGCTGACAGACACAGGATGATAATTAAGAACACATTAATAAACCTACAAGAATATTTGCTTCTGAAGTGAATATTTAAAACATTTGAGAGAGCCACTTACATGTATCTCCTTCAGCTGCACCATGCATTTGGTTGCATTGAGCTTCTGTTACATATTTATAAAGATAAATTAGAATGTTAAATTAAAATGTTAAATTGAACTAAAATCACCACAAAAGCATGCCTACTGCATAGAAAATAACCTGTGAACTAATTTTAACAAAACAAAATATGGTTGACATAGAACTTGGTGGTTGGTCTAGTGATACCTCACGCTGCTCTAAACAGATCTAAAAAGCATGAACAGTTTTCACAGAGGAAGGGTGACAGCGACGGGGGAGGGTGGAAGAGAGCTGCGGGGCGAATGAGGGCAAAATGCACAGCGTGTCTGTATAATGCGTATCCCCGAAATTCCTTCTCGCTGTATACTAACGAAAATTAATTGAAACAACAAACAGAGTATCTGGTTCTTTTGCTCTTCCAATAGGGTTAAAGCCTCAGATCTTAAACCATAAATTTCCAGTAAATATTGACCAGGGCTGACCTTTGCCAAATATTCCAAAGGGATAAGCCAGTCTTCCCCTGTTTAAAAGCCTGGATTCTGCTTAATTAGGTAAAGGCCATGTAAACTGTTTGGCTTTGCACTTAGAGCAGGAATAATCAGACCACCCTGAACCACCGTGAGTAAGATGGAAAAGAAGCTGGACAGCCCTTCAGCCCTCAGCCCTGTCTTCAAAGGCCACTGGTGTGCACTCAGTGTCATTAGCCACAGGCTGATAAGTGCCCTAAGGCACATCTCCGTGGTGCGTGCCTCGTTTTGATGTCCTCCACCTGACAGAGTCACCGCCACTGAGCTAAGCACAGTGAGACTCAGAACGTCACCACCAGATCCTCAGTACTCTGTTCCTGTCTAGTCCCTAATGCACTGTTTGTTTTAACTTTTTGATAATTTCATACATGTATGGGATGTGATGTCATTGAGCTTATATTATATATTTATGAGGATAAATTACAATGATAATTGAATTATTAACCTGAATTTTAATTCCTTCCTCATCCTTTCTCTTCTAACTCCTTCCCTATTTCCTCAGCACTTTTCCTCCCAATTTCATGGGCTCTTAAAAAATAAAAACGGAACACCCATTGAGTCCACTTGGTGCCGCTGTGTATTCTCAGGTGTAGGACAAGCCACCTGTGGGTAGCCACTCAGAGGCATGGTCCTCAAGAGAACAGACTTCCCAGTCTCCTGAAGCCACCGATCGCTCCTCAGCTAGGCAGAGACTCCACGAGCCTCTCCACCCCCAAGGGATTTTGTGTGGTTTGATGGTGTGCAGGCCTTGTGCATGCAATCACAGCTGCTGCTGGCGGTTTGTAACAGCCTTGCCATGTCTGGAAAATACTCACTACCTCTGGCTTTTACAATGCTCGTACTTCCTCTTCTTCAATGATCCCTGAGCCCTGGAGGCAGAGGGTGTGGATATAAATTGATCAACCTCATTGGGGGATTCCAAAAGACACAGAATGCAGACTTATTGAAACTTTGCCATAGAGGGAATTAAACACATTGCTTCAAAAAATATCATTGGCTTAAAAACAGCAATACTAACTCAACCACATGGCCCATGTTAGACCTACAGACATCATTGGCTTAAAAACAGCAACACTAACTCAACCACATGGCCCATGTTAGACCTCGCTCCCCATGCTTAGGCCTGGCTGAGAAGAGCTTGGCTTTATTAACTTGTATTTTATTACTGCATAAGTTCTACATGCAGGATTGGTGAAGGCAAGATCTGTTCTTCCCATACAAAGCAGATAAAGAGACAGGATCCTGAGAAATGACTAAATTTGGAGGAAACAAAATGAGACAAGAACTGTTTTACAGCCGCAGGGTAAGATGTGTGTTATGTCCCACTTAAAGCACTGTGCACGGCTAATTTTCACTTAACTCATCTTACTGTAAACACCGAGATTTCCCAGCCTGAAAAGACCCTTGGAAATGCAAACAGTAAAGAGCAGCCAACAGGGGTGTTCCTGGAAGACACGGAGGAGCTCAAACTGCCTGAGATCTGGCTTGCAGTCAAGCCCGAGTTCTTAATGCAGTTGAGGTCCCTCAGAGGCTGACCTGATATCGTCTAGCAACAGATAATAAATTACTCACAGAGACAGAGCTTGTGACTGACTCCCAGTTGGTCTCTGAGGCTGCTTTAGGTTGGAAATCTTCCTGGAAGGCAAAGACACATCCATTAGTAGTGAGTCACCCGTCTGTTCAATTCACCATGCCCATGGCTGCAGCATCTCAGCCTTCTGAACCTCATTCCGACTAAGTGAAAACAGTAACAGGACTCCACTGTTAACAAGCAGGTCACCGTTTTTATGAAGCATCTGTCCACAAGAACCCCTTGCATCCAAACGTGGACACCTGTGCTCACATTGTCAAATAAATATGGAGAAATAGAAAATGTACAGACAGAAGTTCAAATTCAACTTAGCCGTCTATTGGTGTGTGACCTCAAGTGACCTTCTCAGCCTTTAATTCTTCTCTTCTCCATCTGTAATGGGCTAGGGTGTTTAAATTGCAGAGCTGTTTCAGGAATTGAATGTAGTAATTATGTAGTTATAACTGTCATTTAATAAGAGCTTAATCCAGAGAAAGAATAATTCTTGTCATTCTTGATGTCCATTTGGTTTAAGCTAGGTTCTAAATCACATTCAATTCCGCCTGCTAAGCCAGTCCTCAACAGCAATGATCTTTTCAAAGATTAACCTCTAAAGGCTGTCCCAGACTCCATTAACAAATGTCAGAATGGAGGGCAGGGGGAGACCGTGACTGGGGGTCTGACAGCAGGCAGACAACAGAGCCAGCCAACAAGAGCAAGAGGAAATGGTTAGCTACTGCCCTTACAAAGGCAAACTTAACTTCCATCTTCACGCTACTTTCACATTAATTACTCCAGCACTAGTAAATCACACACACACACACACACACACACACACACACACACACACGGAAGGAGACCTGAGCCTACCATTTCTACATGTCATAAGAAGCTTCTTGCTTCTGCTAAAATAAGTCATCCTTGTAATTTCTTCCAGACTGAGTTGAGTTTGAGGCATTTTCTGATGATATTATGACATATTCAGTGACTCAAGCCTGAAAGATTATTTGCTTAAGTATGCTTACTAAATGAGGGCTGAGAATCAGTTCTAAATTTCATTTGTACCGTGGAGGTCAGAAAGTGCATCTTTGTGTGGTCATGATGACATTAATTTCTGTATAAATGTTGGCATTGAAGGAATGTTAGCTGTTCACCTAGAGGGAACTGGATCACATAGGAGGTAGGAGAAGGAACTGGCTATTGACCATTATTTTAATCCAACCTCAATGCATAAAACGAAAGAAACAGCAAATGTGTGAGATGTGGACACAGGGAACAGAAAGGACCTATGGTAGAAAGATGCATCCAAACAAGGGAAGACTGTGGCTTACAGGAGCCTCTTGGAAGCAGACGAGCAGATGGCACCAGGTGAGGCAGGGTTTTTGTGGGAGATCACACTGCCGGGTATGTGAGTGTGCTTTTGTTACTATACCCACATACTCCAAACTGTCCTTAACAGAGAAACAAGAAGTCTTTAGTTCAAAGTTTTGGAAGTCCCCGAAGTCCGAAACTGGGCAGCCGTGCTTATTAGGCCTCGGGCAAGGGCCTAAGGGCAGGTGACAAGACCGTGACAGCCTGTGTGAGAGGGAGAGAGCACATCTTGAAACAGGAAGTCCAGAGGCTGGAGACTACATTAATTAATCCCAGGTGGCCTGAGGAAATCACATGAGGCCCCAACTTTTAAAGTTTTAGCTACACATTGTCACCAGGAAAACAAGCTGCCCAGCACAGGATCTCCTGGGCTCAGACTCCAGCCATACCCAAACCACAGCACCAGGCAAGGTAAGGCCACAAGCAATTTGTAGATCCTACAGTTTTCCTTGTTCATGGAACATTTGCTAATTACCCACTATGTCAGAGGGTAGTCTCTAAAGTGAGGTTGGTAAGTGAGTAAGACACCACTTCTTCTCCCAAGGACCTTGAAATCATTAAAGTCATCTGAGTTCTCTGATAGCACTTTGCTCAGATAACATGGAAGGTGGCAGACAACTGCACCTGAAGAGGAGGTGAGCTGAGAAAATTTTCATGCCAAAAGACCTGGAATCTTGAATGGTAAGCAGGTTAGTTCCTAGAGAAGGCTAAGGAGTTGAGCATGGTGTCTGAGGTACGTCTACAACATGCAGGTAAGAGCAATCAGAGGAAGCTTCCTGTAGACAGTAGATCTCACTAGAGACTTAAACTTGAGACAGATTTGGGAACTCTCCACACATAGAAGACAACAAAATCAAGTGATGGATTGGAGAACAACGCAAAATCCAGAATGGCTCTTTCAAATTTCAGAACTAGAAACAGTTTTAGGATTTTCTAGTCCAATTTCCTTATTGTTTACAATTTATAAACAATAAATGTGTTACATACAATCTCAGGGAGACATGTGGCAGGCAGGCTCTGGGATGTAGAGCCCTTTGGGTGAAGCTAGAGCCATCCATGGGAGCTGTGGAGTGCTCCTTCCTGTCACCATAGCTGGCTTAGAGAATGTGTGGGGCAGAAAAGACGGAGCTGTGCCTACACTGCAGGCAATACAAGAGCAGAAAGAAAAGCAGTGTGTAGGTCTGGGAGGTCTTCCTGCCAGAGGATGGCAATGCCTAATGGATTCCTCCAGACATTGTTAGGAATGTCTGGAATGATTAATCTCCCATTTCTTTGCTGATGACTTCATTAGCTAGAATGGCAGAGACCATAGTCTTTTATTTTTTACTCAACCTCAAGTGCTTAGGTGTGCTTTCAGGATAAACTTCTCCTAGTTCCTAGTATACAGCAGAAAAGAGGCAGCATTCACCTTGACCAGTAGGTCCCTGAATTCTATGATTTAAATATCACCATGACTAGTTTAGATGGCTCCTTTTCATGAGTGCTCTTAGCAGAACAGTGACTGCACTGTCACTTGAAGTGAGGCTAAAATAGAACAAACAGTGAGTGATCATTTGAAATGTGTCAAAACATCACAGTGTCTAAGAACACATTTCTGGTCTTTGTTAAAACACACTCATGCAAACACTTTAACAGCCGTGTCCCATCCCAGGCAGAGATAATGATTTCCTAACTCCAGAGATCTGGTGTATATTCTGATCTGTTTCTTACCTTCTGCTAAGAGCTGCAGTATCCACCAAAGAATGGAGGAAGCCCATGGCTTGGATATTTTGTTCCCCCATCTGTATAGGGAATCTCCACACTTTACTATGATGGGGAGCTTACTGTACCTTAGAGACATCGTAGACATCCACCTTATAGGAGGAAATGACTTGTCCAGAGATGAAAAATTTGAGCTCCGAGAGCTGAATGAGTCACCCAGCATACCTCCACATCAAGTACAGAGTTAGCTCTCAAATAGCTACTTTGTCTCTATTGACCTATTCTTTTCAGCTCAAATAATATTATAAATCATTCTACAACCACAGGCATTGCAACCTACATTGCTTTCATATAAGAATATATCGTTTAATATGGTATTTTTCTTAGCTCACATCCTCGTGTATAAAAGTTCACAGTTACATTTTAGCAGTAAAGCTTATTGTTTGGTAGGTGCCCTCATTCCCTGCCTCTCACTCTTCAGGTTAGTTTACAAAGCAGACTCTGATACTCAGTTTTAAACAGCACAGCAAACAGAGTTTGATTTACATGGGGAAAGAATTGTTGTGGTGATACATAGAACTGAAATCTCAAAGCATTACATGAAAACACAGACAAGCATTTTATATCCGTGTAGTAAGGAAGCAATATTTCTTTTGAAGTTTTATAGTTATACTATATATAGTTATTACTATTTTCTTTGTGTGCATGCATATACTTGTGCGTGTGCGTGTGTGTATGAGTACATGTACCCTGGTACCTGTGTGGAGGTCAGAGCACATTTTTGGGGAGTCAGTGCTCTCTTTTCACCACATAGACCCAGGGATGGAACTCAAGTTATCAGACTCAGTAAGAGTCACATCCTCATGAGTCCTAGAAGCAATATTTCTAACCATAAAAGCCAAACTTGAAAAACATAAAAACATATACAATGTGTTGGTAGAAAATCTGTAAATCCAAAAGATATCAAAACAAAATTAAAAGCATAAGGGTAAACTGATAAATGCACATGTGAGAGATGTAACAGACAATTCATATCTTTAAAATAAAACGAAGTAATAGCTGGTCAATTTTGATTCCATGTAGTTTCACTAAAAAAATGTGCAGGAATGACTGAAGAGGACGGAAATACATATTTACAAAGATTCTGATACTAGTTAATCCTGAATGGTAGATGGCTTATTTTCTTATTTTTGTTCATATATTACAAAAATTTCACAACATTTCATAACAAGCATCTAGTTTTAATAACAAAATAATTTTTTCCAGACAGGGTTTCTTTGTGTAGCCTTGGCTGTCTTAGAACTAGCCCTGTAGATCAGGCTGGTTTTGTCAAAATGATAATTTCTAATATAGCAATGAAAAAGAAAAATATTGATTAGAATATGCCTGATAATTTATCCTTACAGTCTTATCTGCTATTAAATTATGTCCTTAAAGGTGTCATTCATGGATTCCCTGTTGGAAGAAAAATAGCCTTCTAATGAAAAATAGTGCTCACCAATTAATAAATTGGGTATTGTTATAGAATATTATTTTAGTCCAGGCAGGTCCAGTCCCCTGCTCCCAGATTGAGCCAAGCATCCCCGCATAAGCCCCAGGTTTCAAACAGCTATCTCATGCAGCAAGCCCAGGACCTGGTACCACTGCCTAAATGCCTCCCAAACAGATCAAGCCAATCAACTGTCTCACCTATTCAGAGGGCCTGATCCAGTTGGGGGCCCCTCAGCCTGTGGCCTTGATCTGGAGGTGGTGGGAATGGGAGTGGGCTGGGGAGAAGGGGAAAGGGCAGGAAGGGGGAGAACAAGGGAATCTGTGGCTGTTATGTAGAACTGAATAGTAATGTAGAACTGAATGGTATTGTAAAATAAAAGAAAAAATAAAAAAAAATTCCACAACTGAGAATATTATTTTAACTAGGCAAAGATGTGTTATATTTGTTTACCCCGTGGAATATTACTTTAACTGTGTAAAGTTGTTACATTTATTTATGCTT